ACGGGGACAGGAGTTATGAATTTCCGGTCAAACACACACACCGACACACACACACACACACACACACCGACACACCAACAGACACACTTAGCGAATTATATAAAGTAGGATGGTGAAAGCCGTAGTAGCGGATATGAGAACATGATACTTACCCCTCATGCCACCTGCCAGCTTTTCAGTTGATGGGCCATCTTGATGTTCTGCCCATTCTGGCGAAGGGAATCAACATATATCTGCCTATATGCATTCTCATATTCTGTGCTGTAACTTATTACAAGTGAGCAGGAATATGTTACTGTTTGCCGAAAAGTTATGATTCGCTGTTTTGAGTCCATCGTTCAGGCTCGGAACGCGTCTATTACACAGTCTTGGTTTTGACCAATTTGTTGCATCGGACGAGTTCACACAAGATATGGTCATAGCTGGACGGGCTTTAGTACAACTAGAAAGAAGTTCGCGTAAAAGGCAGAAGGAGCGCACAAGACGAGAGGAGCAGTGGACCGGTCGTCTGGGTCAGTCCTTTGAAATCACTAGCTATTTCTGCAAACCTCAGAAAATGTGGCTAATAGCAATGAGTATGCTTGAACTTAGGCGAATTCGAGAGGTGGTTTCAAAAAAGCAATGGGAGCAACTCTTCAATTAGGTTGAAAATGTCGAAACCTGATGTCTGTCATCTATAGCTGAAGATAATTTTATAAACATAAAAAGAATTATTAATGTGATTAAATTACGGATAAAGCATGAAGTGGAATTTTTCAGGAGCATTACGCTCAGGTAGACGACAGATTCCTGAAGATGAGCAACCTATCATGTCTGCTGAAGAAGCCAATTCGGAATATGACTCTTGGGTGCTTCCTCCGCCCGTGAATCGTGAACACGATATTGGCCTTCGGAAGGAACATCCTTTACCTAAAAACATATTCGATGACATGTAACTGTACGAACCGCCCATTCTCAATTTTCGCTGTTCTGTTTTCTATTCTAATTAGGACGATTATTAATACTGATATCTTGTTTCCTTATTGTTCATACTTCTAGTCGCTAGTGAGCTTTATCTATCATATTCTTAGTTAGTTGTGGTGGTTCTATGGGTGAAATTCGGTATCTCAAAATTTTCTTTGCCACACTTTTCGAATATCTCATCAAAGCTCTGTCGAGCTTCATCAGCTGATACTTTGGACGAACATAATTATTATATTGCCCTTAATAGTGTTTTTAGTGTAATGATCTTGATTAGTTCGAATTCTTTACATAAATGTTTTCGATCATATTTTCCCGTATGAATATGGTGTTACTGTCGTTTCATTTGTTGAAGCAACGCTAGAAAGCATACTTATTTGGGTTATTCGAAGTCAATGCTGTATTCTGAAACCGGTACTTCTCAATCATATCAGGAATCCTGTAGGTATGTCAGACCAAGACCGCCTTGAGAGACTCTTTGGAAATCCATTCCTTCCCCCAAAACCAGAGAGTAAACCGCAAAAGGTGCGTTACTTTCTATTTCGTTGTTTCTGTATTTTCCACTACTCAGTGAAAAGCGTGGAACTGCCTCTCCGATTTGTTCACTGAACCCTTGCGAAGCATTTGTTTACCTCTTCGGCTTTTGCATAGAACTTGCCGTCAACGTACCTAATTTCTCCAAAATGGGAATATGGCATTACATGCGTCCGAGGATGCGGGCGGCAAATTGTGCGGCGAAGTCCGTAACGATTTTAACGACTTTAGCGCCTATCATTGGGGCCTAAATTTGAAGTAGAGTAGATTAGAATGATCATCTGACCCTACTAAACTACGCTACTTCGAGTTTGTGCCCGAAAATTGGCGTCAGTGTCGTACAAATCGTCACGAACTTCGCCGCGTAAGTTGCCGCGCGCGTTCTCGAATGCACGTAGTGGCCGTCCCCCCTCCAAAATAGATCAGTAATCTTACTATCCACACTAGCTTCTGTTTTTTTCCGGCTTCAGGCTTTAGATGTACCGAATATGTTCTGACCAGATGTCAATTGTAAACGAAGTTATTTTCCTATTCTACACACCAATAGTGCAATATCCTTGTCATAATATTTTTGCTCTTGAAGGGCTTTAAAGGGGTATTGATCCGAGAGAAAGGCCCTAACCTGAGACAACCTTCACCACTCCCAGCCTTACCTTCATGGGGCTTCACCTACACCCTTCTCTAAACCACATAGCGTCCAGTCATGGATCGCAACGGTTGAACTTGGGTGCCTACCGCTTATATAGGTGAAAGCGGGAGTGAGGTTCATTAGGAATTTGAAAGTAGGATTCGTTCATCTTTGAATGTGGGCGGGTAATGTTGACGATGGCAACTGACTGAATTGTCACATATTTAACCCCAAATATACCGTGGAATCGTGATTAAACTGTCTCTCTTTTTTGAGCTTTCGCTTTGGAATAGCATGAGCAAGTACTTTGGAAAGAATTCGAGAAACTGAGGACTGAAGTACACAGTAAACCAGACATTTGCTTCGACATGTGGGGTGTGCGTCAAGCAGCAATGATCACATCGGAAATTTTTGTTTCGATTTCAAGTGAACTTGGAAGCTAAACGCGAAGAGCCAGGTAAAAACTAGACCTATGAGCAAGATAAGTAGCATCTACTCACTTTAGATGCCTGCTCATGTATGAACAATCTGAGGTCTTACTACAAGAACTTCGAAAGTGATCTTAAACTATAGGTTTTTGCACAGGCGCAAGATGAAGAATACGTGAATTTGATGAGTTCCAAACTGCTGGTGATTCATCCGATGCAAAACCATATCTGCTTTTCTTCCTTCTTCCAGGGCTGCTCTTTTGCTTCACCATATCGCTCTCTCCTGTTAAGCGATGGTGTTTCGGTCAGGAAGGAGGGAGAGAGAGAGGAGGGGGAGGGGCTGAGCGGAAGCACTCGAGCGAAGAAGTTTTGGAATTAACGAGGATGTTCATTGAATTAAAGCTGCAAAGTCTCGATAAAGCTTCACGGATTGCTTTTGAATTAATATGCTAATTTTATCGTTGATTGCACTAACCCCTTGCCATCATCGGCTCCATTTGCTTTACAAGCAAAATGAGAGTTTTCGAAGGTTGTTTTCGGCTTTCCAATGTTTTTATTTTGTTTTTGAGGCGAATAATATCTTAACTTCCCTACATGCATAATGAGATCCAGCACGAGCCTTTGAATTCGATACCTCAAATTTCAGGAGTTTGTATACACCCCTTCCGCTTACGTGATGATGATTGATCAGATGATCGGTTGCCGGAGTCGGCCTTGGAATCCAGAACGGACCCCAATTGTTCCTAGAATGGTACTTGTTCTTGTTCATCGTATCTTTCTTATAGAACATGAATACGATGAATGTGATTCAGACCCTTTCGATACCACCCATGTCTCGAGAAGAATTATTCCTCTCACGAGCAATGGAGAATTGTGCTGTGAAATCGGTAATTGCTGGTGTACTTGGATTGGGAGTTGGTGAGGATTACCATTTGTTTGAAGTAACACTTTTCTTGATAACATGAATAGTACTTCGAGTGAAAGGCAGTGTGATGAAGAGTCCGAGAGGACGGTCACAATGCGTTCCATATTGCGAAGAAGCTTCGGCGCTTCAACAGGTGACTGGAGGCTTGCTCATAGTAATTTTGAGGGCGGCTATTAGGAATTCGTGCCCTTGCTCCTTTTCATCGCCCTTAGTGTTCTCTAGTTTCGAGTTTGCTGCAGCTTCTTTTTAATTTTTTGATGTTATCTGACTAAATGTAGGAATGATCTGCTGGTTGATATTACCGTACCTCAAACCTATCAAATATGCCTTCAATCCTTATTAGCAGTCTATTTTGGTCAATGATAGAATCGCCTACATCGTAAATTCCATAATGTTTCATAAAGATATATCAGTTGGCAATTATAGCCCGGAAATGTTCGCTCATGTTACAAATATTCTACTTCAGGCGTGGCTTTCGGTTTATTTACCGCTTCCGTCGATCCGTCCATAAGTATGGTGGGAGGAGATCCAACAAAACAGGTGTGTTATACTATCCGATCGCATTTTGCTGTGTTTGCTTCGCAATATTCATATAACCTACTCTTTAACAATGAGTTTATTCTGCTCATTTACCTGACGGTGAGCTCGAGCCCTGTGAAATTTCATGTCGTTACTCTCTCAACATTTTAACCCATCAGCCACGTACACCGAACAGCTATGATTCAAATCAATAGACCAAAACTCTTGATTTTTTGACCACAGACATTTTAATCTCTCGCATTTGCGAAGCATCGAGTCACAGATATCCGGATAACCAAGCTTTCTCATGATGAGTATCTTCTTTCGTGGCAAACTAGGCATCCATTGAGGTGCGTGAATTAATGTCGACTTTACAACTAGCGTATTTGAAGGGCGATCTGCAGAGCATGCTAAATCCTACATGCGTTATGCTGCATTTACTGAACATAAGCGCTGGACTGCCGAGGTAATCAAACGAACTCAAGTCAGGAGAGCCAGAACTCTAATTATCCTACTCAGTGCCTCTAATGAATTACTCGCATCGAGTTCGATCCTTTTCGAATTTTTGAGACCAAAAAAACTGTAGAAGCGCTCGCTGAGGTAGCGCTCTGGAGTGCCTTATCACTTTTGCCATCACCTTATTCAGAATTTCCATTATTTGCGCCAATGTTAACTTCACATTTCGCTCAAAAACCGCGAGAAACGAATAAACAAACTCTGTACTCATGGTAAAGGTGCATTTCCTATTATATATGAGTTCCTTTCAGCTCACCCTGAAAGAGACTTGGAAAGAAATGAGCGGCAGAATGAAGTCGTACGGAAAGAATTTCGGATCAATTGGATTCATGTTTTCAGGTGTCATCTCACTTTACCTACGGTCTTTTACTAACCTTACCTAAATAATTATATCAATTTATTCAAGGAACTGAGTGTCTCCTGGAGACAGTGCGAGCAAAAAGCGACTGGAAGAATGGAACGTATTCCGGAGGTGAGACTTCAGTTTTGAGTAGTCACAATCTCAATGAGATTGTGACTCTTTTGCGCTTGTATGGCGAGGATGTACCTAGTGCTCCCACCCCACTTACATGTATTAACTTTTATTTTCATCATTTTAAAACTTTTTCAGCAATTGTCGGTGGCATTCTTGGTCTCCGTGCTGGCATAAAGCCAGCCCTTTGGGGAGCTGCTGGCTTTGCGGCGTTTTCGACGCTCATCGATCATTGGATGAGAGGCTGATTATCTTTAGTTCACTGTTTCTTCATGAAGCCATGCAGATTCGCAGATTATACAGTTCCTCACGAGAACCTATCCTTTACGTTCCTATAAAGTAGGTTCTGAATTTCGTTATGATAGTTTATGCATCATTCGTGGTTGTTTTGTTGACTGTTTGCAATATACGGGTAAATCGTGCAAAACTCGACTCCTGCACTATCAGAAGAATAAAAAAACTACTGTCAACATCGAGTAAAAACAATTAATCAAAAGAACAATATTCAGGAAATAGGGTAGAGCAATGCAAGACTGTTTCCGTGTGTCCTATTTTTGTTGAATGGGAGCAAATGAAGGCAAGGGTTTATGCAAATATAGCATCAGATTGAGTGGTAAAGAGTGAAAAGGTCTGAACAGGATGGGCGAAGGCACAGCGATTGAAGGTAGGCTGCGTTTAGCCGCAGTGCCAGAACCATAGTTCCTAAGTTGAAAAAGCCTTCCGCCATCTGACATTATTTTTTTGTGCTAAACTTGTTGGGGATGATATTTTTTTGTGCTAAACGTGTTGGGGATAACAACAAACGAGAGTTCGCCAAATACTGGCCTTTTCGAACGCTTGTATCAGTGAAGAACTAGTACCTACTCGAGCACCTTTGGAATGGCAATTATATTTTCATGAGTTTCATCAACGTAGCCAGTCTCACTTAAGCCCAATTCCGTTCAATTGAATGATTTTCGAAAGCAGAAAAAGTAATCGGATTGTTTGAATTCGGGCAACCTGAAACAAAGAGAACATGTTTTGCCACCCTTACAAGGCCAGAACCTGTTCGGTGCTAATTTCTGGAAGCAGCTGTCTTATTTAGACATAAGGACGATTGGCGCCGTTGTCAGTCACGAAATTGTTGCATGGGTGGCTTGGGATTCTGGCCTTAACAATCTATTTGGTGATTGGAAAAAGGCTCATACGAAGGTATTCAGGACTACCGTTTCAGTCTTTCATCATTCATGACTTCAGTGTTGAAGTGAGGACTGAAGTGGTGTAATAGTGCCACACTATCACACCCAGGGTATGGGTACATTCACCCAGAACTGGATGGACGCGGCAAACCGCGCGGCGAAATTCGTGGTGATTGAAACAGCTTTGGCGCCTATCATTTGAGCACGGATTTCAAGCAGATCAGATATGTGGGGCCAGCTGATGCTTCTTATCTATCCCACTTCAAATTTGTGCCCCAATGATAGGCGCCAGAGTCGTTTTGAACACCACGAATTTTGCCGCGCGGTTTGCCGCGTCCATCCAGTTCTGGGTGAATGTTCCGTCCCCCTCACACCCATAGTACTGTGGTCGAATTCCCGATCTTTGCCATCCAGAGCAACCCGTCTGTTAATTAGGCTCATATGAGAGGATAAAAGCACTGATTTGTATGTCTACTGGCCATCGCATGCCATTGTATAAGTCTCATTCAAAACCCCACAACGATAAATGGAAGCCTATAGCGAGGCACATCGTAGAAGATGGGCTGAACAACGCCAAGGGAGTTCAAATCCTGTCATTAAAAGGGTCTGTTTTCATGTGTGAGCTAACCTGTAAACTCATTCGAATAGCGATGTAGTGAATTGTTAGGAAAGATTTAGAATTTGGGAACAGCTTTTTTAACGTTTCTTTTTAAAGCTCCCTGAAAGCGAATGCATGTTTTTACTTATTTCGAATTAACAATATGTTCGTACTTATTCCGAAAAAGTGAACTATTTGGTGAAAACGTATTTGGTGGTGCCAGCGCCCTTTCTGCTCTGCGTCTCTGACATCAGTCGGCAGAGTGCTGAGATGACTTCCCTCCCTTCTCAATGTTAGGGAAGGAGCTCCGAGATGGATTAGATGAATATCTCGGGCAAAAAGCTAGGATGGGGTAAGAATCGAACATCCAAATGGCTTACCCACCCTAGAGCTCCTTAACTAACTTTGAGAAGGGGAGGAAACCATCTGCACTCTAGCGCGATCTCTATGCACTCTGCTGGCAGGTGTCAGAGACGCAGAGCAGAAAAGGACGCTGGCACCCCCAACTTCATTTTCACCAACAATTTTATTTTATTTGGTTGACTGTGATTTTTAATTTTCCACGTGTAATTTTAAAATCAATTTCAACTGGAGTGTAAGGTGGAGCATTTTCGACACATTCTACTTTTTTACTTCTATGGTAGCAAAAGAGCTGCTGATATTTCCTCTCTGATATATCCTACTATATATTTATTTGTTTATTTGTAACATTGTGCATAAGGCAAGAAAAATGAAGGTAACAAATCACGACTAGAGTTACAGACAGATCCTATACTATACTAAACTAAACTAGTTTGTAAGTACAGTTAACGGTGTAGCATTTATCGTCATGTTGATTAACACGTTGACGACGAAAGCGTTTTTCATTTGCGCGCCCACGGGACGACAAAACGCTGGCTAATCGTCGGTCACCATTGTCCGGGGGACGTGCGATTCGTGCGATTCCGGGTGCGCGCGACAAATTGCGCGACGAAATTCGCGACGATTCAAACTTTCTCCTGCGCCTTTTATTGGAGCACAAACTTGAAGCAGAGTAGATCAGTAGGATCAGCTGACCATATCCAACTATTCTACTCCAAGTTTGTGCCTCGATAATACGCATCAGAGTCGTTCGAATCGCACCGAATTTCGCCGCGCAATTTGCCGTGCGCACTCAGAATCGCACGAATCGCACCACACCCCCATTGACCGACATAGTCCCACGTTACAGGCACCATATTTAGTTTACTGTATTCATAAAGAATAAGCTACTATGCGTGTGAAGCAAGTAAAAACTTATTACAACAAAAAAACTTGAACAAAACCGTTAATATTTGAGTGAATATTCTAAAAGCATGGGGCTTCGTAGACCATTTCGGTGTATAAAGCCTTAAATAGAGAACATTTGAAGGTACAATTTAAACGTTTTGCACGAACAAGATTAGAGCAAAGGCGCCAATTGTTGGAAGGAGTTTGTGGATAACAATAATTCCAGGTACTTCTGAGGTCCTAATACTTATCGTCAATATGGGTTCTATGGCCGATGATGCTGATGTCATGGAAAGATGTTTTGAAGATTTACTGCTCGAGAGCAATGTTGAGGACTTCCGTGAACCCGAGGAAGAAAATTGATTTGTTTCTGCATTTGTGCGGGATCAAGAAGACTTTGATACAGATGGCGCCGACGAATGTGATGGCGACAGTGACGTGGAGATATGACCTAGACTAACGATGCACTTTCGAATGATTAACGAACGAACAGGAGTACATCGACATGTTGAATGCTGTGAAAATCCTCTAGACTTTTACGAGCTGTCCTTTTCGAGGATCTGCTTGTGACGGTTGCGATAAAACCAGTATAGATATATGGCCATCAGAAGACTCGTTCCTGGGAAGCGACAGATATTGAACGGTCTCTGCTTGCGAATTTCGCGGTGTCCCTTGGACAACCAGGTTTCTAGTTTCAGTGACCAGAGGAACTACTGGTCGCTGAAACCTAGAAACTTAACCGGAAATGGGAATTCTATTGCAGCTGACGTTATGGTGAGAGATCGCTTCGAACAGCTTCGAAACCTTCACTTTTCTGATAATAGCGATGCAGAAGGAGTAACAATTGTGCAAAATTCAACCAATTTTGTACTACGTCAACGATAAGTTTCAGAGGGAGAGTGTAAGCCGGAGAAGGAGTTGTGCACTGGTAAGTCTATGGTGCCGTTTCGCGGGCGAGTCTCCTTCTGGCAGTATAGTGGAGCCAAGAGGCAAGTTTGAGATGTTCAATTTGTGTTCAGGAGCAGGTTACGCGCTGTTGGTAAAGGTCTACGCCGGTAGAGGCCCTAAGGGGACGAGAACAGTAGCTGGAACCGTTGTAATGGAAATTACGGATAGTTTTTCAACACGTTGCGTACCGGCGCCTTTGGCGATTTTCCTATGCGCGTGGCCAAGCGATTTTTGGTTCGGCTCGCGGTGTGCATCACCATGTGATGCACTTGGCCACAGGGAATGGTTTCTTTTCTAACATTGCGAATTCTCTACTATTGGGATCCGATTTTCTTCTATAATGTTTCCACATATGAAGAACAACATATCTGTCTAACACTCTGTGATTTAGGAGACATTTTGTTGGTCAACTGTGCGTGCTAAATCTGAATCAAATAAAATCTACTTAGTACTAAATTCTGCGATAACAATTCCAACCGACCGAAGTTCCTTGACTTCAAAGTGTTCCGACCAGGCGAAAGTTGCGCTTCT